GGTATTTTGATGATTTAGACACATTTTTCAACGGAATTGTCTGAAATTCTACACAAGAAGTTCTTTGTGAGGACTTTACCCCATGAAAGAAAATTGTCTATATAGATCCTCGATATTGTATATCCCCCATATTCGGTATTTTGATGATTTTAGCCACATTTATCAGAGGAATTGTCTGAAATTCTGCACAAGGAGTTCTATGTGAGTACATTTTTCAGAGTAATTTTCTGAAATTCTACACAAGAAGTTCTTTGTGAGGACTTTACCCCATGAAAGAAAATTGTCTATATAGATCCTCGATATTGTATATCCCCCATATTCGGTATTTTGATGATTTTAGCCACACTTTTCAATGGAATTGTCAGAAATTCTACACCAGAAGTTCTTTGTGAGCAGTTTATCCCTTGAAAGAGAATTTTCTATATACGTCCACAATATGGTAAATAATCGGTATTTTCATGATTTTAGCCACATTTTCCAATGGAATAATCTGAAAATCCACACAAAGAGTTCCTTGTGAGTACTTTATCCCCTGGAACATAATTATCAATATCATATAGACCCATATAACTGCCGCCCCCCAAAATATTCGGTATTTTAATGATTTTAGCCACATTAATCAATTTAATTGTTTGAAATTTCCTACAAAGAATTCCTTATGAGTTCTTTACTCTCTGAAAAGTAGTTGTATATATAGGTCCACGATGTCGTATATGACCCATATAACGGCACTTTTCGATATTCGGTATTTTTATGATTTAAGCCACATTTTCCAATGAAATTGTCTGAAAATCCACACAAGGAGTTCCTTATGAGCACATTATCCCTTAGAAGAGAATTATCTATATAGATCCAAGATATCGTGTAGCCCCCATATAACGGGACCAACCAATATTCGGTATTTTGAAATTAAATTCTACACCAGGATTTCCTTGTGAATACTTTATCCCTTGGAAGATAACGACGATCCACGATATCGTATATGCCCCATATAACGGTACCCCCCGATATTCCATATTTTGATGATTTTCGCCACATTTATCAGAGGAATTGTCTGAAATTCTGCACAAGGAGTTCTTTGTGAGTACATTTTTCAGAGTAATTTTCTGAAATTCTGCGCAAGGAGTTCTTTGTGAGTACTTTACCCCAGACATAGATTAGTTTATATAGGTCCACAATATCGTATATCCCCCCAATATATATGCACCTTCCGATATTCGGTATTTTTAAGATTTGAACAGAATTTTTAATGGATTTTTTTTGAAATTTTCCTAATTCGTTCCAAATGGTGGAGGACATTCAAAGTTGGGCCCGGCCGAACATACTGCTTTTTTAATTGTTTTAGTATAAAATTGTCTATATAGGCTCCCGTTTTTGTGGCCCCCATATAACTGCATACTTCTATCTCACTGGAGTTTGTAGTTCAAAATGGAATACGTTTGAATGCAGATACCTTTGTATAAAATATTTTCTTAAAAAAAAGCAAAATGAGGATTTAAGGAATAAACTTCAGAAATAAAGCTATCGAATAAACCTAAACGTCAACTTAACAAAACATATGTTCAATAATCACCCATCAGTAGATTTGTATTTGACAATCAAATTCAAAAACTAACAGTAATAATTACTTGTTTTTATGAAGGAGGGCCACATAATGCAATTAGTTGCCAAGCACTAATAAAAAATTGAATCATTAGTTGAGTATTTTCATCAATTTAACAATAGTACATTAAATTTAAATGAAAACATAAATAAACTTTTCAAACAATAATATATATAAGAAAAATATGAAAGAATAGAGTTTATAAGAGATAATATTAAAGAAATCAAAGATTACCCAGCACGTTTAATTTTGATATAAATGTAGTAGGCAAAAACCTACAGGCATTCAATGGTACTCACAAAATTTTTAGATGATTTCGTAATTAGAGTATTTCTGATGACACAAAGCTAATTAATTTGATGGGCTTAGTCAACTCTTTGACCTTTCCAGAAATTGTCTTTGATAAAGTGTGGGTTGACGCGCATATCCATCGAGACTATGTTGACTCCACGAGCCGAGTCTGAGAGAATATAATGGTTAGCCTAGCTATAGTTGAGATTGGTCTAGTTTTGGTCGAGATTGGTCTCTTGCGTGTATAAGCATATGTTAGTGTGTCCATCCAGCTTATATTTCCCCCACGTGCCTGCATTTGTTGGTAAGAAAAGAAAATCTTTTTTGTTTTGACCTCAGTGTCCTTCTTACCCCACCCTTTCTCCATATTACATTCGTCCACCGCTATAACCACATTCCCTTGCATCGTCCATCTTACCCCCTGTTCCATACCGTCCTCAACTATCCCCCTCTCCTTTGCACAGACCTTTCTATCTTCTCTCTGCCCTATACCGTTCCCTCTACCACAGTGTTGAAATCATCTAACTTTCCCTTTTTCAGTCAATTATGCTCTTATCAGTAAAAAATATTTTAGAATTGTTGGTCGGTCTGTCCGGATGTAAGTCCGACAACATGGATGCATTAAGCGAAATTGGTGATAGAAGTTACTTGTAACAGAATTACTGTTTTTTTGCTTTTTGTTTTGCTCATATTTTAGATGCATTATTGAAATGTTTTGTTAGCATAGGAAAAGTGAGCGTGGAAACAATTTCCCCGTTCCACAGACCGCTCTTCTTCATCAGTCCATCAGTAAAAATTATTTAAGAATTGTGTGTCGATCTGTCCAGATGTAACTCCGGCCACATATATCGTAGACGATGAAGCAGCTTTTTGTGAGCATGTTTCATCCATTTTCAATGACAATGTACCTGCAAGAAAGGAGAATATTTGGAAGAGTCTTTTGTCCCACTATGGAATAAAATTGAGAGATGCATAGAAAACAATTAAATAAAAAATAATTTTAAAGAAAATTAGGATTTTTTATGTTAACTTTTATAAAAAATAAATTAAAGAAGCATTTCATTCAAAAAGAAAAAAAAGACAAGAGGTGAAATGAAAAAAATCTCAAAATCACTTGAATGTAATATATACCTATAAAAAAGGAAAATGTTTGTATGTTTGTTTGTGTGTAAATTATGGTCTCGACGACCGCTGAACAGATTTTCTTGAAAATTTCCAAGTATACTACAACATCACCTGAAAGTAACATATGTAATATACATATTTGAAATTCCACTTGGAACTGGAAATATAGCATCATATAGCATTTGATGTACCAAACACGATACGTATTTCCGATTCCGATATACGTGAGAGACACATCCAAATTTGTTATGAACGTGGTTCAATTACCAAATGCTGCTTATCCAACCTTGCTAAGTTCGCTGGAATGCTACAGTGGCAAAAAACACCGCGAGATCGCTAGCCTAGAGCTAGTGTTTCCGACTGTGAGGGCAATAGTCTGAGTTCTCAACCGGCAGTTGGCATTAATTTTTTCCTTAGAATTATACTTTTATAAGTCTCATACTAATAATGAATTTTGATATTTTGACATTTAAATTGATACTTTTTGAAAGTCAGCCGAAGAGCATTTCAAAATCTCTACAAATTACTACTTTCCCTAAAACACAAAAAAATAATAATAATAAACGATTACTAGAATTGAATGATTATTATTGATATGAATTATTATTTACCGTATTTGAATAAAGTATGTATTTTTTTGAAAACATGAATAACTAAATAGATCATATGGCTTGCGTAATGACATAATACTGGATTAGGCATGGAAGTAGAGGTTTCAGTATACGGAGTGCCACTAAACACAAGGTTGGGTAGGGTAAAGAGGCGAGGATTTCGAACAGCCAGAATCCACTGTTTTAATATGATTATGGTATTCTCTACAATTATAGGTTTCATTTTCTTGTTAACCGTAGTGATTTCTGATTAATTTGATGGTAGACAATAGTTAATATAGATTTTCCTCCATTTCAATTTTGTATTTAGTGGGAGTCCTGAATAAAATAAATTGTTTAGGAAGCGATGGAATTGTCGCCAATTCAAAATATATCCGAACCCCCCACCCCTAGAGTTTGGATGGCTCCCTTTTATCTATTTTGCTTTTATACCCTCCACCATAGTATGGAGGGTATATTAAGTTTGTCATTCCGTTTGTAACGCCTCGAAATATACATTTTAGACCCCACAAAGTATATATATTCTTGATCAGCATAAAATTCTATGTCGATTTTCTAACAACCGGGGTTTATTATATAAACGGAATACCGCAAATGTGTGTCTTCGAGTGGCGTTGCCGGTATGCTGGCGTTTTGCGCGGCTATGGCTCGTCGGATGAGGTGTGGTTCTTGCCACTCTGGGACATTTCGGTTGACAAAAAAAAAAATTCATACCGGTCTGATTCCAACTGAATGATTTTATTTGTGTGGTGGAGAACCTAGAATATGTCTAAAAAAAAAAAAAAAACGAACAAAAACTACATGACAGTAACATTTACAGTGAACTCATCATTAACACTTTTATTATCCAAATATCTTCCTAATTTGAACCAGGTTTCCCCTAGCGGCTATCCGGCTAGGGAAACTACCCACCCACCGAGATTACCTCTCGCCATGACACCCCTATCCACAGGGTGCCCCATATTCAAAGCCTTCACTTACCCCTCTATCTCATCCCTACCACCTTTTTAAACAGCTTTAAGCCGAAGACATTGTTTTCAGTTTAAATTCCACAAATTTATTCATACTTAAGCTTAACAAAGGATCTTTAGTGAAAATTATATGGACAACAAGAATAAGATCAAAACAAAATACATCGTACAAAAAAATGATTTTTTTTGATTTCATTAATTCAGTAATTCCTTAATATTTTTTTTTAATCTCTCTTCGTTTCAGGCAATCTAATAATAATTCATTTTTCTTTCTTTCTCTTTCTTTTCAGGAAATTTCTTTTCTTTCAGGCAATTTCTTTTCTTTTCAGGAAATTTCTTTTCTTTCAGGCAATTTCTTTCTTTTCAGGAAATTTCTTTCTTTTCAGGAAATTTCTTTCAGGCAATTTCTTTTCTTTTCAGGAAATTTTTTTTCTTTCAGGCAATTTCTTTCTTTTCAGGAAATTTCTTTCTTTTCAGGAAATTTCTTTTCTTTCAGGCAATTTCTTTTCTTTTCAGGAAATTTCTTTCTTTTCTGGGAATATCTGGCGGCTCATAAATGTAGTTAGGCTTTATCTGGAGGTGGCTCTTCCCAATGTATAAGTAAAAAGTTCAAGTTTATGGTGTTAGCGTTGTAATTACATTCCAGAACCATTTTACGACATCACTTTATTTTTTTTTTTTTTTTTAGAAAAAGTCCAACAAGGCAGATTGGGGCCGTACAAATATTCGGCGAACTAGAACAAAACAATATTCCTAACCCTGGCTTGAGCTCAACCCTGAGTGGAATCCTGTACCCATTGTGGTAAGTAGACTCTAAACTTAACTGCTTGTTGTCCCTTCTATTAACTTTTGCTATTTTTCTCTTTTCTTGCTATGTAATGTTCGTGGAATCTAATTTGCTTGCTGTCGTCCGTCCTGCCGTCCAAGTAAAAGGTACAATGTCTATGGGAATTACCAAGGGCTTGCCAGAGTGACAAAACCGCAAATCTGCGCCTCCCACGTTGGATTGGATGGTGTTGGTGTGGCTCCCGAGGTTAATTTTAAGATGATTTCTTATTTTTTTTGTTTTGATATTTGTATAGTTTGTTTAAACTTTGTTTAGGTTTAGTTTTTTTTTTCCTTTAATTAATTATTTTTAATATTTCTTTAAATTCCTTTTTTTGTTTAAAAGCAGAAAGGAAATTTTAATAAATGCCAAAAGAAATAAAACAATTCGGGTTTTCTTGTTGGTCTTGCTGTTGTCGGTTGGCTGGAGCCACACATCCAATCTTCTTACCAGTGCAAATCAAAAAAAGCCCATTTTCCTGCGAAAATTTGCCAGGAAATTTCGGATTGTCATCCTTCTTTTCCTTTGTTTTTCTTCCCCTTCGTCTTGACATTTCTGCATGTGTTTGCAACAAAACAGCTGTTTTTGCAGATAGTTGGCAATATTATTATTCTTCTTCTTTTTTATGTATTCATTTTTAGACTTAACCCTCTATAAGACGCACCCCACAAAGCCAACTATCCTGCCGATATCCTTATCAAGGGATAGGAGGGAAAAAGTGCGACATTTGATACATTAATTTAGATACAAATCTGCTTAATATGCGTTACCTACAACAGGAATCTTTATTTGGCAACTCTAAGCCTTCTCGATCTGGCAACTCTATCAACAACTTCCCAATTTTTCATACACCAATATTGTTAACTTATGAAGTTTTAATTCATCCCATGTAAACCAGCTTTGACTGAAGTCTTACGCATGGTGTAAATGATGTTTACGACGTACGCAAGGCGTCGCGCTGCAAGTATTTAGTCAAACCTAAACTGTCAATGAATGAAACTGACTTTTATGAATGGCAACCGGCGTTAGCGTATATTGTAATTCTAATTGGCGGTCGATGTGATTCTCGGTGTCGTCGAAAATTTATAAAATAAAGGTAAGTACAGTGTAAAATAATTTTAGTGGATAAGGAAAAGTGTTTAATTAAACTTCTCGCGTCGTGTAATTGATGATAAAGTGTTTTGTGTGTGAAAAGGGTAAAAAAAGTGAATGAAAAATTAACCACGCAATTACAACCAGTGAGTGTGTGTGTGTGTGAGCAAAAATTGCAAGGCAATTATATTGTGGGGTTTGATAAAGAATATGCCAAAAAAAAAATTAAAATATATATTAAAATATTTATTACAAAATCTTTTATGAAAAGGAATAAGTCAATGGCAAAAATAAATTGAAAGCAAAAAAAAAAAGGCATGGGAATACACATGACCTTCGAAAACTAACGGAAAAAAATATATGCATGTGTATGTGTGTGTGGCGCAACTAGTGGCTGAATGAATGAGATGCATTTACAATAGGTGATAGAAAAAAAATTACACTCATTCAAAAACGTGGTTATGTCGGAAACGAATAATTTTAAAAAGGAAGATCAATCATTAATTCGCCGTGAGTGAGTTATGTGGGTGAAAAAAGAAGAAGAACAAAAAAAGAAGGATAAAGAAAAAGAAAAGAAGAAAAAAATCAAAATATTGTGAATATCGAAACCAAAACAAAAGTGAATTGAGAGTTTAGAAAATAATTATTAAAAAAAAAGAAAATAAATGAAGAAAATTTGGATGATGGAGGAGAAAAATTGTGAAAATTGAAACCTATAAAAAATTACTAAATATATTGATCAAATGGAAACAGAATTGAATGGAAATGGAAATCGGTGAGTTTTGAAATTTCATATATACATTCGTATCGCAGCTAATTCAAAATATATCTTAGTTTGTCTTGCGTTTCTACTATTTTTTTTTTTTTTTATTTCTGATTCGGATGAGAAATTGTTGGCCAGCAGCAATGTCACTTTAGTCCCCGAATATCGCTAGTAATTCAGGTTAATTCATTCTACAGCGAACTACAGGGATAGTACAATGGACTTTCTATATTCTAATAAAAAAATATTCTTGAAAAACTTCAGTTTAAAGTTTAATGTTTAAAATTTTCATAACTGTGAATAAGGTAATACTGAAAAGAACTTTAGAACGAGCAGATTTAAAATCCAATTGTAAAGCCTTTTTCAAAACTATTCAACTCTTTAAAATTTTAAATAAATGTGGGCTAAATGTTATCAAAGTTGAGGATATTACTGTTTCAAATCCTTGGCGTGGAAAATGCCAATAGGATTACCTTTAAGATCTTCGACCTCATAAAGGCAATTTCCAACAGGTTTAACTATACGACATCTGAAAAATTTCTTATCAAGTTTGGCATTGTAATTACTTTTAAAATCGCTCTGCTTAAAACTTCTACGGAAAACCTCTTGTCCTGGAATGAATTTGACAAGGCGACTCCGCATATTGTATGATTTTTCATTTCTTAGGTAGGCTTGGTGTAGGCTATTTCGGATCTTTTCCCTAATTAAATCTTGCTTCACGATATTTGGAGTTATTCTTGCTTCTGGGTCATTGAGAAGCTCTAATTTTCGGGCTAGTTGGTAGAAGCTACCATGAGTTACCATATTTACTCCAAAGAGAGCAAAATACGGAGTGACCCCAATTGAGTTATGCACGGAAGACCTAAGGGAGCATTCGATTTCTGGCAAATTTTTATCCCAATTTGTGTGATCATCTCCTAGGAATGATCGAATGGCTGCTAAAATTGACAGATTCACTCTCTCAGAAGCATTCGCTTGAGGTGAGTGAATTGCAGTCCTAATGTGATTTATCCCGAAATTCTTGGTCAAATCGGCGAATTCTTTGCTGGTAAATTGTTTACCATTATCAGATATAATTGTTTCGGGTGTACCGAATTTATAAAACACTTCGCTAATTAGAAACTTCACTACATTCTTGGTGTTGGCCTTGGCCATGGCTTTCAATAAGACAAACTTGGAGAGGTGGTCTAACACAATAAAGATAAAACAGTTCCCTGCCTTAGTTCTGGGATACGGTCCTAAAAAGTCTATGTAGATTCGTTGGAATGGTCTATTTGATACTATCTCGGCTCCCAAAGGGGGCCTCAAGGTTGTGTTGGCGGGTTTTGCTTCTTTGCAAATGATACAGTCCCTGACAAAATTTCTTACTTGGACATTTTGGTGTGGCCAAAAGAAATATTCTTTTACTCTTTTTAAAGTTTTATGATAGCCTCCATGTGAGACCTGGGGTGGACAATGTGCGTTTTTAATAATTTGTTGGGTTAATTCTTTGGGGACCCACAGCTTCCAAGCAAAATCTTCATTAGTGGGAATACCATCATAGAACTGAGTTCTTTTATAGACCAAAGCGTCTACCACTTTTAAGTCGGGAAGTTGAGATGAATTACGTTCAATGTTTGCTATAAGCTCGGTGTATTCGTCCGATTTGAAAGCGGGCGAATCTAAATCAATTAAAGACTTGACTTCCATTGATACCTCTTCCATGTCATACCTTGATAGCGTATCTGGGACGACGTTTTGGGTTCCTTTTCGGTGTTCTATCTCAAAGGTGAAAGTTTGGAGCTGTAAACTCCACCTAGCTAATCTTCCGCTCAGATCTCTGTGGGACATTAACCATTTAAGACTGCTATGGTCAGTGATTACAGTAAAGGGCATAAGTTCTATATATGGCCGGAACTTACGAATAGCCAAGACCACTGCCAAGCACTCTCTCTCTGTAACCGAATAGTTCTTCTGAGCGGAGGTCAACTTTTGGGAGAAATAAGCGATGGGGTGTTCTCCACCATCCCTATCTCTTTGAAATAAAACCGCACCTATCCCCAAGTCCGAGGCGTCGCACTGGACAAAAAAGGGTTTTGCAAAATCCGGGTGGTTGAGAACAGGACTTGTCACTAAGGCTTGTTTTAATTTGTCAAAGGCTACTTTAGCCTCCTCCGTGAAATGAAATTGTTTTCCTTTCTTCATGGTTTCAAATATGGGAGCGGCAATGGTGGCAAAGTCGGCTATAAACCTTCGATACCACCCTGCTGTCCCCATAAAACTCCTTACTTGCTTCGCACTTCGTGGATACTTAAACTGCATAATAGTCTCCACTTTTGCCGGATCAGGTTTTAATTTGCCACCTCCAACTATGTAACCCAAGTACTTAAGTTCCTTGAAGCAGAACTTTGACTTGGTCACATTTATAGTGAGTCCAGCTCTAGCCAAACAATCTGCCACCTGCTCTAGCAACCTCAGGTGAGTGTCGAAGTCTGGCGAAACTACCAAAAGATCATCCAAGTAGACGAAAACTCTGTCACGTAGTGCGCCAGGGATCACCTTATCCATTAAACGGCATAACCTTTGGGCTGCATTGCACAGACCAAAGGGCATGACCGTGAAATGGTAAAGCGGTCGTCCGGGCACCGTGAAGGCAGTTTTCTCTCTACTTGAAAGATCCAATGGAATTTGCCAGAAAGCATCCTTCAGGTCGACACTGAATATAAAGTAGGTATCCCCCAGCCGACTGAGCAGACCCTCTATATGTGGCAATGGATAGGCATCCTTGACCGTCAGCGCGTTTAGTTTGCGAGCGTCCAGGCACAAACGGTTCTTGTCACCCTTGCGGACTAGAGTAACCGGATGACTCCATGGACTCTCGCTCTCCTCAATCACACCTAGGTCTAGCATTCTATCCACTTCCGCATACATAAGCTTCTGCACAGCCGGGGATACGGGATAGTGCCTATCTTTCACTGGAGTTGCATCGCGGGTGTCGATTGAGTGGACCTCAGCTTTAGTTTTTCCCAAGCCATACTTCGTAAAGCATGGGAATTTGTCCTTCACCAATTGCAAACGGATGCGCTGCTCTTCGGACAATGCATGAGTCTTTACATCATTGATCTCCACGGCTTCGCTGGGACCCTTTTGTTGGAGGGATAAAAAGTCAACCTGAGCAAACAAATGGAAACTTCTCATGAAGTCTACGCCTAAAAACAATTCACGACTCAGCGATGGTACCAGGTAGAACGTAACGGAATGGGTTTGCCTGTTAAAAAGAACATTAGTTGTCACCCTTCCCACTATCTTGTGAGGACTGCCATCAGCCGTTTTGATGAATGCATGGAACTGACCGATTGTTAATCCTGCTCTTTCAACAAAATTGAGGCAGTTCTTTCCCAAGCAAGAAACTGTAGCTCCGCTATCCAATAAACCCTCTACTTCCTGGCCATTAATACACAATTTCGTATATAACCGGGTATCATCACCTTCATACAAGGTTGCTGAGGCTATCTCCCTCCGTATACGTTTTCTCCTCTTATACCTCTCCCGAGCCTTCTTTACTTTGTTCGAAACTTCTCCGAAGATTCTCGCTCTGGCTTCATTGTATTCTTTGATTCTGATGTGAAGCGGTTTAAGCTCCCTCAACTTTCCTTTTGAATCTGACTCTGACATCCATTTGCTCACATTCACTCTCTTTAAAGTTATTACCTTATCGCTACAAGTTAACCTATTTGTGTTTTCTGGGCTTAGACTGGGGTTGACCTCACCTGCCCAGACTGAGGTGGGTTCTTGGGCCGGTTTCCCTGACACCTAGTACAATCTGGAACGGTAACACCCTCCTGGCCACATTTGTAACAAAAAATCTTTCTGGGCTCTCTACACTCCATCCAGCTGTGTCCCATCACTCCACAGTTCCAGCATCTATATCTAGATGTAACGCCTATTGCATCTACTTCCACTTCCGCTGAAAATTCTTCATTTTGTTGCCAATCATGCAACAAAGCATGCGGTAATACTTCGAGAATAATCCACAAACAATAATAATGATAACTAGCAATGATGACAATAATTGCCTAAAGAAGCTAATAAAATTCAATGTAATGCGTAGTTCGGTGGTGGGATAATAGATAAAAAAAACGGTAAGTGAAAGTCAAATTCCTGATTCATTAGGAGTATTTTGAAAAAGTGTTCAAAATTTTCAATACAAGGTTATGGTGAGTTACTGTCAAAACAAAAATTGATGAAAAATGTAATAAGAAGCAGAAACAGACATCCCTGGAGGAGTGCCATTGCAATACGATCCTGGCCTGGAGCCAAACACGTCGCAGACCAATGGAACTCAGTTGTATATCCGTACTTTAAATCTACTCTTACTTTGGGTATTGAAACTAAAAACTAAATTTGTAAAAAAAAATCC